GTCCATCAGTGGGCCCTCCCCTCCCCACCGCTCCCATCATCTGCGGTTGTCGTTGATGAAGGGGTGCTCCTGGCATCACGCAGGTGGGGGCCAGGGGTGCTGCTAGACAGCCATGTCAGTCAGTATTGTCTGTCTCGTGTCCATCTCTAAAACCACAGAGGCCCGTGTCAGCGAGGGCCCTCCTGGCCCTTATTTATGCCTTCACTTCCGGTCGTGGGCCAGGCCCCTTGGGGAGGGGCCACACCCGTCGGGGTCTCTGTCTCTAGGTGGTTAGCACAGCGTCGTTCTTGGGCTGACTTGTTTGAAGGGCCGATGTAAGAACTATGTCCCACGTCCCAAGTAAACAGACAGCACTAGAGTCCCAGTGGGCCCTGGCGGGCCGGGCATTGTCCTCTTCATCTCAGGGACAGATCCCTGGCCACAGTGCTCACCTGCCTGGCACGACCACACTGTGTGGACAGGTCATGTGGTCTTCACGGGGAATGCTGGGCTGAGTGCTGAGGAGGAAAACAGAATTTCAGTTTATTTTTAGCAAGAGCAGGAAGATGTACATGGTCTGTTCAGTATAGCATCTCAGATTAGCATCCTCAGACGATACTTTATCCTGTGACCATTAAGCTGTTTCTGTAGGGGCTGAATTCCTCTAACCCATCACCTGCCTCAGAGCTCACAAGGCACAAGCTGCTGTTTCATACAAGGTTCTCTCTCAGAGAATTTCCTCAACATGACTTCTCCAAGCCCCAGTGGAGGGACGCTGCCCCCTTAGGAGGGGCTGGGAGGGAGGACACCTGGGGCCCTCGCTGCTCTCCTCCTGGCCACCTGTCTGTCCCCAGTTGGTCATGGGTGGCCTCACTGCTGGGACGTGCAGACACCCTGCCCGGTTTTCAGGCAGTGACAGCATTTTTTACTCTTGTTTATTTCGTATCAGAGGAGTTTTTATGTCAGATGAGTGTTGAGTGTGACTTCCTCTGAAACCTAGTATTTGTTACAGAAATAAAAAGTAGCCTTAACGCTTCAGAGACTGTTTTGCGGAATAGGAAGGATTGAAGTGAGACCTCTGAGCTCTGCCAGGGAGCAGGGGGTGAGGATGGCGGGCGTTGCAAGACGGGGGCTTGTTTCATCTCCAGCAAGGAGCCACGCTAGTGCTGTGGGCGGCAGGTACCCTGGGAAGCGGGGATGTGGTCAGCGCCCCCTGAGTGAGTAGGAGCTGACTCTCCTCCTCTTCGGGGGGTCCTGGGGAGCCCCACGGGGGATGGCGGGAGAGCTGAGAAAAGTGGGGGCATGAGCATGCCAGGAGTGGCCAGTGGTGCTGGCCTGGGCTGCTGTCCCCACGGCTGCGTGCAATAGGGAAGGGCCCTCGTGGAGTCTCCCCAAGCAGCTGAGCAGAGATGTCTGTTCTTTCTTAAGACTTAGTCAAACATGAGGCTCCTTCCCCCTGGTTGGCGCCCACTGAAGGGGTCCTGTGGCTGCTTGTGCGAGGGCAGTGAGGGCAGAGTCACTCCTGGTTCCCTGGTCGCCCTGTACCTATGGCAGCCAGCAGCCTCACCAGAGGGGCCTGTCCTTCAGAGTCTGCTCCTCGACAGGGGTGTTACGTGAGACTCCAGGGTGTCAGGAGACCCTGTGACCATTGGACATGTCTGTCATTTGTCACTGTGAGTCTCAGAGAACCTCCAAAGCTTAGGTGTCAGCTGGCCAACGAGGAGACGCGGGGACCCGGTGGGTCCTCCACGCCAAGCCAGACCTCTCCTTGGTCACATTGTCTTAGCAAGTACTGGTCCTAAGGGTGAAGCGTGAGGGTTGCGCCGCCTCCTGCGTCCCAGGAGGGGCTCTGTGTGCACAGTAGGAGCTTCAGGTGGAGAGAAGTCACAAAAGTCCCTGTGAAACCAGGAGACACATGGATAGGAGCTCCCCGCTCCACACGCAGACGGAGAGGCATATCCTAGTCCCAGGCGGCAACCCTGCTCCCAGCACCTCTCACGGGAGGACAGGTTGGAATGTGGAAACTGGGATCAGAGCTGCCGGTCCTTGCTGCTGCCAAGGATCCTTGTTCAGACGAGATCCTGTTCTCGGAGGTGACTCGGGACATGTGTGTCTTGAGTTTCTCCACTTCTGATGGCTTCCGCCCTGACTTAGCAGCCGAGGACCTGTCGTTTTGCATAAATTCCTTATGTGGGGGCTCTGCCGAAAACATTCATGTCAAATACAGTTAAGTTCTAGGAATCGTGACATATCCCCAGGTCACCTGGCACGGTTTTGTAGTTACCTGGTGGCACTCGTTTCAGTAAATGGAGGGTCCTGAGAAATGTGACTGTAAATGTGAGCTTGCTCATCTGTGCCATGTCCTGAGGTCCCTGTACTCACTGTGCTCTGTGAGGTCCTTGCACTCGCATCTATGCAATATCCTGAGGTCCCTTGCTCACCTGTGCTCTGTATAGGCCCCCGTGCTCACCTGTGCCCTGTCCTGAGGTCCCTGGGACTCTGAGCTTGTTGTAGTTGTGTTAGTCCACCAGAGGGGGCTCCTAGGCTGGGATCGGTGTTGACAGGAGATGGGTTTGCAGTGGCTGCCTGCTGTGAACCAGGGTGTCAGGGCCCAGACGCCTCTTCCAGCCCCAGCAGCCTGGGTCCGGTCATTTCCGTGCCCACTTCCTTCTGCCACCAGAGCTGTTTCACACACAGCTCAGCTCACCCAGGAAGCACATGTGGCCCGTGGCAGGTGTTCCAGGGGCTCCACAGCTGCCCCCAAGCTGTTTGTTTCAGGCACTTGTCCTCATGGTGCACCCGGCAGCACCCTAGCATCTTAGAGCCACGTCCTGCAAACCCAGATCTGAGAGAATTTCTGCTTGTGTTTCTCAGAGAATTGGAGGTATGTGCACGCCTATTGTGGTTGTCTGTTTTAGTCATGTTGGTGCCAAGTGGTTTGTGTGTGGAGCTTCCCTCAGAGAAAGGTTTTTGCCAAACAAGGGCCATAGTGTCGTCGGGGTTCCCAGGGCTCAGGGCCATGGTGAGGGCGCTGGCCGGTGCTTGTGCTGGGACAGCCCAATACGGGCTCCCGCCATCCTGAGACCGTGACCTGTGTTTGTAGAGGAGACACTCTGGTTGAACTTGTAAGCTTGTTTCTAAGAGCACAGCAAGCTCGAGCCTCGTGTGCTGTCTGCATGTGTTAAGACATGTCCTTAGAAGAAGTGACCATAGATTTGCTGACTGATAAGCTAAAGGGCAGTTTGGGACGAGCCAATCAAAGTGTCTGTCCTGAGGCAGGCTGTCAGATGGCCCCCAGAGGCCACCGTGCTGGTGTGTCTGCCCTGCCCTGGGAGCAGTACCGTCCTGTCATTAATTCTGAACAAAGTAGCACATTCTCCACTGGCTCAGTGTTGAGACAAGCAGGTTCCCTCACTGCTGTGGGGATGGTGGGAGGCGGATGTCACGCACTCGTGGCCTCGTTCCAGTTGCACTGTGGGTTGGGATTGGGATTGTGCATAATACATTCATGATCCTTGGCCCAGATTATGGCTCTTCTCGGGATTGACGTCTCCATTCCGTGCGTTGCCTGAGGCCGGCTCCGTGGGGAGGGCAACACTTGTCTCACAAGTTAACTCAGAACAGTGAAAACGGGTGCAGTTGTGGTCACTCAGCACTTGAGACCATGGCAGTGTCCCAGTTGTCGTGGCAGAGCAGGGCGCTGGCTGGAGTCTGCACTTGCTACCCCAAGTCTTCTGGGCTAAAGGGCTGGGAGCTGCTTGAAGGTCATTCCCAGGGTCAAGCAGGTGAATTGACCAATGGCCTTGGGTTGCAGAGCTCATCTGGGAAGTGAGCCACCGGCGCCCTTGGTGACCATTGTCATGACGTTGGCGGGGGGGGGGG